TTCCCAAAGGGTCCTACTTTGAATGCCAAAGTATTTTATTTGGTCATCCTCAGTTTAGATTACAGAAGACTTGCAAAGCCCTTCTAGTACCCAAATAGGGAATTGAGCCTGTCAGAGAACCAGGTACAATCCATAATCCATTTCAATTCCATGGAGCTATTTAAAATTATCCTTCACTTCAACATTTTAAAATAAGCTTATCAATCACGTTTAATGTCAAGTTATCTCTCATAGGATATCCTCTAAATGAGTTAAAAAAAATCAATCTCTTTCACTGACTTTCTCCTTTAGGACAAAGGGACAAAGCATGGAGGAAACATGCTTATTTAATTCCTCTTTTTAAATCTCCCCAATATTATACATTTGAAAATGCTTTAGAATATTACTTCTAATTGAAATATTTTTGTTACTATTGCTATAAGGATTTACATAAAATATTTAAATCTTGCTAAATAATACTCAATGAAATGTTAACATTGCATTAGTCAAGTATGGTACAGTAGCACAGACAATAACGATAAATACGGCAAAGGAGTTAATGTATAACCAAGCATTTAATGTGAGTACAGAGAGAAAGCACACACAAGGCAAAGTACAAGAGTAGCAGTTTGGAGCTCTAAGAGTAAACATGAGATTGGGAATTTATAGCTTCAAGAATTTTGCATCTGGGTTGTTTGTTTTTACTTTTAACTTAGAAGTTTTAACTTTATGTAGGCCTGGAAAATATATGAATACACAGTCCATCTTCTAATCTATAATTGTAAGAAGAATGTTTGTGAAATAAAAATCAAGAACGAACTATTTGAAATTGCTTCTGATTATTTTAACTGTAGGTAGACTTTGGTTTTCTATGTATCTTTGGACATTTACTTCAAAAGAACAGGTTCTTCACTATGTGCAGCACAGTTAAATAAAAAGACATTAAAGCAACTTAAGAGGCCTACTGCAGAGTCCTGCGGTAGAACAATATAAAGTCAGGTTAAACAATGTCAAACTTGTTTTATGATGTGTGTGTGGGAGGATAATTTGTGCAACGGACTATCACCAATGATGACTCAACCTGATGAATATTCAGTAAGTTTTTGGATTACTGTTATGTCAGGACTCCAAAATGTATGTATTTATTGTAAACTCTTGATTTTCTTATGAGAGCAGGAAAGAAAGGAAGAAAGAAAGTACAAAGAAAGAAAGGAAAAGAAAGAAAGAAAGAAAGGAAGAGAGAAAGAAAGAATAATGATGCATAGCTATTTTACCTTTTTTTTTTTTTTTTGTATCTACCCTATAGGGAATATTTTGATTCTGTGTTTCAGACAATTTACCAATGATGTCTGAATTAACAGGAATGAAGATGTTAAAGAAACCTGAATGAAGATCAACTGTCTTTTAAAAAAACAAACATTTTTTTGTTGACTTCAGAGAGGAAGAGAGAGGGAGAAACAGAAACATTAATAATGAAAGAGAATCATTGACTGGCTGTCTCCCGCATGTCCCTGCTGGGGATCAAGTCTGCAACCCCAGGATGTGGCTTGACCCAGAATCGAGCTATGACCTCCTGGTTCATAGGTCGACGCTCAACAACTGAGCCACATCAGCCAGGCTGTAGTAAACTTTTAAAACAAGATATGATACAAGATTCAAAACAAACTCTTAAATTTGCTTTTAAAGAATGTTAGTGGAGATATAAATTGAATATATATTTAAGTTCATAATTTTTCTTTTTTTTTTTTTAAAAATATATTTTTTTTGATTTTTTACAGAGAGGAAGGGAGAGGGATAGACAGTTAGAAACATCAATGAGAGAGAAACATCAATCAGCTGCCTCCTGCACACTCCCCACTGGGGATGTGCCCGCAACCAAGGTACATGCCCTTGACTGGAATCGAACCTGGGACCCTTCAGTCCAGAGGCCAACGCTCTATCAACTGAGCCAAACCGGTTAGGGCTGAATACATGAATTCTTTTTTTTTTCTCTCTCTTTTTTTCTTTTCTTTTTTTTTATTATTAGTTAAGGTATTACAAATGTGTCCTCATTCCCCCCATTAACCCCCAACCTCCCCCCAACACACACACTCATGCTCCTATCCGCCTGTTGTCCATGTCCATTGGTTTGGCTTATATACATGTATACAAGTCCTTCGGTTGATCTCTTCCCCTTACCCCCGCCCTCCCCTAAGTTCATAATTTTTCAAGTTAGAAGACTTCTGAAGCAAATCTATTCTCTTCCCACCTCTGTCTCTGAAACACACACACACACGCACACACACACACACACACACACACACACACACACGCTTCTGTAAGGCGATACATGTAGAGGAGTAAAAAGACTTAGTTTCCAGAATTTGTGTTATATCTTGTTTTAAAGAAACGGAGTGTGGGCCATCTAGCTTTAGATTTTAGGAAGAAATTACCAAGACTGATGAGGATTAAAAGAATGCTATGTAAATTACTTAGCCTGAATTACCAAGGAAATTTTATGAGGTTATTTATATGGTAGGATAAAAACTAGTGTACTGAGTTGGATGTAATGTCTTACAACAAACTAAAATTCACTATAATACTCTACATGTTATGAGAAATATGGCATGCCCCTTGAATAAAATCTACTTCACTCTAAAACATATCATTAACAAGTTATTATTTTATAACAATATACCTAGAAAAATACTTCTTAGTCAAAACAGCAACAACTCAACTAAAACAGGAATCTTCTATTCAAGCAACAAAAGTTACATTTATCATGTGTAAGCCAGTGCATGAAGACACAGCAGTTTTAAAGATGTAATCCTTACCTACCTGCAAATGGCTCTGCGGTAAAATATAATAGCCATTTCTTTTTATTATGACATTTGGTTCTACTATTTAATTGTTAGATATAATACCATTCACTGCAACTGGAAACAAGAGCACCTTTCTTTTCTGCCTTTGCAATTGCCTCATGAATCAGAGGATTCTGGTAGTCTGCAAAAGTAATAATTTAAAAAATATATCATAAATTTTTTAAAGCAATTATTATATTTCATGATTTGTGTTAAATAGTACTTTGAATGTTTTTTATTTAGGTAGAACTATGACTTTTTAAAAATAGATGGCCTCATTCAAATGTATTGCAATATGATCTATGGATACGATTCTACAGGGGACTGGCATCATTTGTGCTAATAAAGATTGAGACTCAAAATATGTGCACTGGTCCTCAGCCCTCCTCTTTCCCCACCTCCTATATCCCAGCATGCCTGGGAAAACAAAATTATCACAAACGAGTCAAGTCCTGTGCTTCCATTAATTTGCCCAATCCACTGTCCCAAAGAAATGAATTCAGGATCCTGTTTCCAATTCCTGGCACTCTAGGACAGTTCTTTATCTAGATTGCAAGTGACTGGCATGGTATTGCTGATTTTCTTTTTTTTGCGTGTGATCTGATAGATCACAACCTATCAAGGGAGAAATTACCCATTCAAAAAGGAAAATAAAACTCATTGGCATTTAATTTTAAAATACATTGTTTGAAAATTATAGCAGGGGTGATACAGCAGATAATGTCCTTAACTATGTCCTATAGCAACTGCTATAACCATAGAATAGTAGAAAATTGGTTCTTGTATTTTGAATAAATTCCCATATAAATATAATACTTGCTAAAGTTTGAAAACTTCTGTAATGTTTAATAAGTGGTTTCTGGTTGATTGAATTTTTAAAAAATTTGCATGATCACTTACACATAATAAAACTAGAAATGATATAAGATAAAACTCTATAAATGGTCCTTTTGTTCTTAGGCATTCAAGTCTGAGACCAAAATCTAAACACAGAATAATCAATTTATGTGATATTTCAATCTCCAGTAGATACATTCAAAGAATTTCAGACAAAGGTTTATTCCAATGAGATTCATACTGTACAAATCACAGTGTATGCCAATATACTACTTCATGCTGAAAACAAGAGGATGTACATAGACATCATATCTTAGGGTGGGGAATGAATATTACTGCTCACTGTAAGAGAGAGAGAGAGAAAGTGTGTGTGTGTGTGTGTGTGTGTGTGTGTGTGTGTGTGTGTGTGTTTGTGTGTGTGTGTGAGAGAGAGAGAGAGAGACTCCTAGCCTTCATAAAAGTATGAAGCCATCCATCTTTACTTTATGAAAATCCATTCTTCTTCCAGCATGATAGAGTCTAGATTAAAATTCTGCATGAGAATAATATTTCATGCAAGTTCTACTATGTTTCATTGGCCAATTTTAAAGGTCAAAAAGTACAATTTAATATTATAAAATGCCAACTCAATGACTTCAAAGAGTTGGTAATTCTTGTAAAATTGGTTGAGAGAAATTAGAATAACAGTTATATATATATGTTTATATATCTAATATATTTAATGCTTACAACTGCTCTATAATGTAAATACAATAATCCTGATTTTACACGTAAGGAAATTAAAGACTTGCCGGAAGCCGGTCCATCCTTGCTGCTTGACACAGTTGCTGCAGGGAAGAAACATCTGCACAGCATATGTTTCAAGGGACCTGGTGTATATGGCATACTGTTCTTAATATGTTTGCTCACCTTCTTGGCGCTATGTGTTTTAATCAAGGTCACCTCTCCGAGGTTGTTTCCCCAGGTAGGGATTTTTCCCTGAAGTTAGGGAGGGAATAAAACCCCTTAACAAAATGCCAGGCAGGTAGTTAATCACTTTAACTACGAACAATCACCCTTAAGCTACATAATCTTTACTCCCTGGAATGGAGATAAGAAATGCCCTAACCTTTGGAATAGAAATTGACAGGATTAAAATCAACTAGTATAAATACAGATGTAACAAGACAATAAAACACAGAACTTGGCTGGAGATCCTGGCTAGGCTGCTGATCAACTGAACGCTGTCTCCATGTCATTCCTTCTTCGCCAACTCTGTCTACACTTTTGGGGACCCCTGGACCTGCTGGGGTTGGACCCCAACAACTGCTGCCCAACGTGGCTGTTCCCCTGGGCTAAGTCGGCAACATGAGTTGCAACAACTTGGATGGGAAATACGACTTTGATGAGCAGTTGCGATTGCAAAAATTGTATGGAGACACCCATAAAGGAGACACCCAGAAAGGTCCAGGTAGAGAAAACAATTCTTTCAGGCAGCAGCCAGATGACACTCCCTACGAGTGGGACCTGGATAAGAAGGCTTGGTTCCCCAAGATCACTGAAGATTTCATTGCTACATATCAGGCCAATTATGGCTTTTCTAATGATGGTGCGTCTAGCTCTACTGCAAATGTACAAGATGTTAATGCTAGGCCTGCAGAAGAATCTCCGCAAAGAAAAAACCCTGAACCCACTGATCCCAAAAAAAGAGGAGAAAAGAGAAAGGCTGAATCAGGGTGGTTTCATGTTGAAGAAGACAGAAATACAAATGTATATGTGTCTGGTTTGCCTCCAGACATTACACTGGATGAATTTATACAGCTCATGTCCAAGTTTGGCATTATTATGAGAGATCCTCAAACAGAAGAATTTAAAGTCAAGCTTTGCAAAGATAATCAAGGAAATCTTAAAGGAGATGGGCTTTGCTGTTATTTGAAGAGGGAATCTGTGGATCTTGCATTAAAACTTTTGGATGAAGATGAAATTAGAGGCAACAGATTACATATCAAGGTGGCAAAGTTTCAACTGAAGGGAGAATATGATGCCTCTAAGAAGAAGAAGTGCAAGGATTACAAGAAAAAGCTATCTCAGAAACAAAAGCAATTGGATTGGAGACCTGAGAGAAAGGATGGGTCAATCGGAACGTGCCATGAACGAGTTGTCATCATCAAAAATATGTTTCATCCTATGGATTTTGAGGATGATCCATTGGTGCTAAATGAGATCAGAGAAGATCTTCGAGTAGAGTGTTCGAAGTTTGGACAAATTAGGAAGCTTCTTCTGTTTGATAGACACCCAGATGGTGTGGCCTCTGTGTCCTTCAGGGAACCAGAGGAAGCTGATTATTGTATTCAAACTCTGGATGGACGGTGGTTTGGTGGTCGTCAAATCACTGCCCAAGTATGGGATGGAACTACAGATTATCAGGTGGAAGAGACCACAAGAGAAAGGGAGGAAAGGCTGAAAGGATAAGAGGCTTTCATTGAGTCTCCCAAGGCCAATAAAGGTCTTCGGCGTTCAAATTTCATCTGTGCTTCAGAAAGGGCAGGGCCTTCTAGAGTAAGGCATTTTTCAGAGTGCCCTAGCACATCTAAAATGAATGATGAAGAAGCTGAAACTCAAATGGAATTTGAAGAGCCTGTAGATGAAAAGAAGTTTGAAAAATCAGAAGATGGGGGAGAATTTTGTTGGAGACCACCTATTGTCTTCACTAGCTGAGCATAGACAGAGACCCCCAAAAGCTGGTGACCTTTGAAGCCCTAGCAAAGGTTGGAGCTGTGCACCACCCAGTTGATCTAGATAATGGTAGCTGGAGCATCCTCCCCACCTTAACTCATGTAAATCCTTGTTGATTAGATAGTCTGCCTATTACTGGGAATTGTCTGCTGATGAGCTAATCTGTGTGTTACTGGAACTTGCCTGCCTAAGCGCAATGCTACGGGTGTATCCCAGATCAATAAAAGGTTGGTGTGGGCTGAGCACCAGTGGAAGTCTCTCTCCTTGAGTTGGACTTGCCTGCCTGGTCCCCCAATATTTCCAAATTATCTTGTGTCTTTTCTCTTTCATTTGTGTGCCGCTCCTCTTCCAGACCCTGAACCCTGAACCACGCAGAACGTGGAGGGAAACACACTCAACAAAAACTTATGTGTTTTAACACCTATTATTTGCAAAAAAAGGACTATCTGAGTATATGAAGGTACACTTTTTTGGAAGATCTGAATATTTTTTAGAATAAGTAATTAATATATATATATATATATATATATATATATATATATATATATATATATATGAAATATCCCATATAATAAAGAGGCAATATGAAAATTGACCATCATGCCCTCACACAAGATGGTTGCCCCCATGTGGTTACAAGATGGCCACCACAAGATGGCCAGCAGGGGAGGGCAGTTAGGAGCAACCAGGCTGGCAGGGGAGGGCAGTTAGGGGTGACTGGGCCTGCAGGGGAGGCAGTTAGGGGCAAGCAGGCTGGCAGGGGAGGTCACTTGGGGGCGACCATGCCAGCAGGGTAGGGAAGTTAGGGGCAACTGTGCCAGCAGGGGAAGGCAGTTGGGGACGATCGGGCCAGCAGAGCTAGGCAGTCGGGGGTGATTGGGCCAGCGGGGGGGGGGGGGGCAGTTGGGGGCAATCAAGCTGGCAGGGGAGTGGTTAGGCAGTGATCAGGCTGGTAGGCAGAAGCCATTAGGGGCAATCAGGCAGGCAGGCAGGCAAGTGGTTGGGAGCCAGCAGTCCTGGATTGTGAGGGTGCAGGCTGGGCTGAGGGACACCCTGCCAGCCCCCCCCCTCCCCACCAGTGCACAAATTTCAGGCACTAGGCCTCTAGTATATAAATATGTATATAAAGTATTCAAATTGTATCTCAGAAGAATAATAAAGTCCAGAATTACATTTATTATTTATTATCAATCTCTTATTCTGAGTTATTAGTGATATACCATGAAACTCAGTATTAAAGCAAAATAGTGCCGATTATGAACATGCCAGAGACACAGGTCTTTATCCTTAACAAATACTCAATGCCAGAAGATTAATTTTATGGGCACTATTAGAGCTTTTGTAAAACGAAGCAGTTACCTTAAACAAACTCACATCCAGTTTTGCAGCAGAAGGTCATTTGTGCACTTGCCACGTTTCCCTCTGCATCCGTTTATGTCTCTCTAGTAGAGACCATTGTCTAATTAATTATATGGAAGCTGATAGCCCCTCTCGTGGGCTAGCAAAGCACTTTCCTGTTCTATATATTGCTCAGTGCTGCCGGGGAACTGATTGCTCTTCTCCAGTCAGATAAAAGCTGGAGATGTTGGTCTCCCTAAAACATCTTCCCTAATAAGCATTTAATGTAAGACAAGTGCTATAGAAATTTCAACAAGATTTTATATTAAAATAATTGTTAGGCTTGAAAGAGAATTCAAAAGCCTCTAGAATTACTGTAGTAGCCATTTTCTCAAAATAAATGTGCAGTTATTAAAATAATGTGTGTTTATGATGAAATGCTTAAAACCACGAGGAAGAGAAAGACATCCTGTAATTTCAACACCCAAAGACAGCATTAATAAACACCTAGGTCAAACTTCAAAACTAGGACCCTATCCTACATTATATTAGTACTTAAACATCTGTCCTTGTTAACAATAGCACATAGTCCTCTAAATTCCCAATTTCCTGACTTTATCATACTTTATATGACCAGTTTTCTACTGTTAGACATTAAGGTTATTATTAATTTTTTACTCATATTGGAACATGTGGTGATAAATTTCTTTTGATATAAATCATAGTTATTTCTTATTGCCTTAGGATATATTCCTAATGGTGTTTCTGGGTCAAAAGGTTTGAATATTTATTGCTTCAATATATATATTGATGACTGCCATTCATTAAAAATAATAATAATAATTTGCAGCTTTGTCATCAGTCTATAGCTGTCCACTTTCCTGCATTCTTACTAACGTGAGGTATTACTCTTTTTAGTCACGTTGGTTTGGCAGTGAAAATCATGTTTTACTGCTGTTTTAATTTGCATCTGTTATTGCTAAAACAATAGAATATTTGTAGATTTTACTTGTCATTTGCTTTTTTATATGTATCATTTGGTCATACTTTGTTCAGTTTTCTATTCTAGTGTTTACATTTCCCTCATTGACTTATATGGGAGTTAAATAAAGGAAGAATATTGACACACTGCATTGTGTGCATGTCATATTAACCTTTGCACACTCTGTGAGAATTAATCCAGGGACAAATTACATATACTAAAGGTCAGGAAATAGTTGAGAGAGTCCATTTGCAATTGAGATAACAACTTAAAGATTCTTTTATTTAAAAAAAATATTTGTCCTTGAAAAATAATCACATAACCCATTTTAACCGTATTTATACTGAGGATATTTTAAAGTACAAAATCATTTTATAATAATAGTGATAATGTTACTAACAGTTAACATTTACTGTGAGTGTATTTGTATCTGTAAGGCACTTCACATTCTCAAAACAATTCATAAAGCAGTTACTCTTTCTGTTCATGTTTTATAGACAAAGAAACTAACCCTTATAGCGTAACATGCACAAGATTACAAGCCAGTGTATGTTCTATCACAATTTTATTCCAACTGAGATGAAAGAAAAAATTCTCCATAAAATTCCTTTATGTTGTCAAGGAAGGAAGAGATTTACCACATTCAAATCATGGAATTAATATAGTAAATTGAACCAAATTAAATTTCTCTTTTAGTAGGTCAATAGTGATCAAATATTTGCAAGTTTATACAGTTCAAGCAAATTAATTTGATCTGGAAAAAAACTATAGAAAAAATGTGCAAATAAGTTGTAACAAAAAAATGTTTACCACAATATTTTATTAAATCCAATCAATGTATTTTACAGAGGACAAAACTAAGACTGATAGAGTTTATGCAGATTTCCCCAGCACTTAAAATAATTTTTAGAAAGATTATATTTTTACTAATGTCTTATATATTCTATGAGATATGTTTTAATATTTTCATCATATTGGTACATTTTTTGCATCCTCACCATCAAAATTCTCTCTCTTTTCCCTTTGTCTCCCAACCAACCTTTCTCACTCTCTCTCCTTCTTATGTTACCTTCTCTGTTTCTTTTCCCTGTCTCCCAACTCTCTCTCTCTCTCTCTCTCTCTCTCTCTCTCTCTCTCTCTCTCTCTCTTCCTTCCTATCTTACCTTTGCTATCTTCTCTGTTTCTCTGCCTCTCTTTATGTCTATAAATGTTTGTTGACTATGTACTATACTCAAAGCTAAATTCTCACATGCAGTGGTGAATGAGGCAGTCTTTTAAGGAGTTTGTCTATGAGGCAGTAGAGAAGAAAATAGTCAATTTATTTCCATTGGATGTAACACTGTTATTGGAAAGAGGACCAGACCTGGAGCACGTCTGCCTAAAGCCAGACTATAGTGTGGAGGGTTCTTGACATCATGCAGGAAAGATTTCAAAATATGAGTCGAGGCAATTTTGAGAGAATGTTTATTAAAGCTGGGACAGTGAAACAAGGAAGGGCTTGGGATAAAGTAGGCATCAGGAGAGGGCCTCGGCAGGCCTGCTTGGGCGCTCTAGAAATGTTCTAGCAAAGAAGTGAGCCTAGGTGGGTTTGCTTTTGCTCACCGGGAAGTCAGAGAAAAGTAGGCCTTAGAGACAAGTTCAGGGGTTTAGCCGGATGAGCTGCCACTGCCCATTGTTCCCCTGCTTGGAAGTCTCATGGGGTCCCTTAGTGTTTAGGAGAGGCATGCCTGTGGGGGAGGAAAGTGGGAAAGGCAGAGGCACCCGGGTTGCACCTGGGAAGCAGAGCTTGCACTGGGTTCTTTGTCTTGAGGGCTTTAAAGGCTGGAAGTTTAGGGAGGGGTCTTAGGGAAGGATCTCAATGGAATACTCACTAGCTTTTCCACTGTATTTTTCAGGGTCATGGTCTCCACTGATTGGTTGGCACAAAGTTAGGGGGTCATTAGTCATCACAGCTGGTCCTGGCATTGCCTATCTGATTTTGCTGCTTGCCTACGCCTGGAGTTGAAATACAACTGAGGCCTAGATCTCTAGAGAGGAAAGGTCAAAGGGTGTGTGTGTGTGTGTGTGTGTGTGTGTGTGTGTGTGTGTGTGTGTCTAAACTGCATGGCCAGCGTATGCCAGAGAAGGAAAGGCCACCCTGGGGGTGAGGTCCAGCCCCAGTTTTGCTGTTGCTAGGCACCCAGGGATTTCCACCCTGGTGACTCCTGTATCTGATTGTAAATGTTCTGCTAGTTTGTTAAGTTACCTGTCTCAGTTTCCTCATATAGCTGCCAAATAATTTTTCTTACCAATCTACCTCAAAAACCACTTGGCCAGGCCACTTAACGTAATCTCAGATGATGGTGAGAGGCCTTTCAAAGACAGTGTCTTTGAAACTGAGATGTTCAAAGGAATGGAGCCCTAGGAGACATAGCATAAACCATAATTCAGGGTGCTGAAGTGGTTGAAATTAGTGTGGCTGGCCATTGGAGGCAATTGTATTTAATAGCATAATTTTTATAGAAAAATTAAATTCTTAAATAAAAATATTCCCACAAAGAAAAGTTTATATTCAAATGGTTTCACTGGTGAATTTTATCAAATATTTTTTAAAAAGAAATAATACGAATCCTACTCAAGCTCTTTAAGGTAATTAAAGACTAGATAACAGGTCCCACTCATT